TATATATATATTCCAAAATACTTAAAGACAATATAATCATACAAGACGCGTATATTATTAATTAACGTTCACTGCTAAGGATATGATTTTTACAACTCTTCTATTCTATAAAAGATTATGTAATAACCTGCAATTGATAAAAATTCTCCAAATAGAATACTTTCATTGCGAATATTGCCGTCGATTTGGGAAAAGGCGGCTGCAACGACGCTTTCGCCTACATGTCCGACGAACTTGGATACGGCCTCATCGTATATTCGTGGCAACAAAATAGATCTTGGCGAATTATGCACAGCTATTTCATGCCGGATCCTCTGGCCGGTGACTACAACATCGGCGGCCTGAATTTCCAATGGGGTGAAGAAGGGATTTTCGGCATGAGTTTATCTCCGATCGCGGTTAATGGATACAGAACACTATTTTTCCATCCTCTTAGTAGTAGAAGAGAATTTGCAGTTTCCACGAGAATTCTGAGGGACGAGGACTTATCACAAAATAGTTATCACGAATTCCAGGTATGTGATTATAATTATTATATATTTGCATTAGTACTCAATTTTGATATTAATTACCAGAATTTTATCATATATAAAATTGAGTATGAATCTTCAATTAGCGTAATTTATGGCGTATTTATTTGATCGATCAAATTAATATAAGTAAATTACGATAATTTAGATCTTTTGGATCTGTAATCTAAAAAGCATTTATCGCAACGAAATTATATGTATTATTGAGCAAATGTGGATATATGATTTCATTTTACGTTGTAATTTTATTATCACTTTGCATTTCGAATATAATATAGAGGTATATTTTATGGAAAAGCAAGTTATTACTATTGATGAATAGATTCTTCCTGAAAGAGGACCACTTGGCCATTGCACTGCTTCTGTGATGGATGAAAATGGACTGCAATTTTTCAATTTGATCGATCAAAATGCAGTGGGTTGTTGGAATTCTGCATTACCATATGCGCCTGAAAACCAGGCAGTCGTTGTTAGACACGACGATGCACTGATATTTCCAGCAGATGTTAAGGTAAAATTTAATATTCTATCTAAAAAGAGCGTTCCATTCCTAATCATAATATGTCTTTACTTTTTTAATTCAAGCATAATTTCAATTTTAATTTTCTCTCTAA